GTTCGGTTCTAGGGCCAATCCTTTACTCACTTTTCACGCATGATGTCCCTTGCCCTAGCGACTGTGAAGTCGCGTTCCGATAATCTGGTTCACGTCACGTTGCAAAGTGCGGTGGATGAGGTATTGGAATTGGCAAATCGGTGGCTAATCAAAATTGATTACTCGAAAACGCAGTATCCATCGTGCCAAAAAACGTAGCGGCGCCCCGCCTAAGGTTTCAGTGAATAGAGCTCGCATACCATGGAGAAATTCTGCTAAGTATCTCGGAGTCACTCTTGACAGGGAATGACCTGGCAGAATCACACTGAAGCGATAAAAACTAAATTCCAAATTACGTTTCGGCAACTCTACCCTTTACTATGTAGAACCTCAAAATTAAATTTGGTTAACAAAGTTCGGCTATACAAGATGGTTATCAGACCAGCAATCACTTAGTGCAGCACGGTGTTTTCTTGCCAAAAAGCATACGCGTAAACAGCAGGTTTTGCAAAACAGAACCCTGCGAACCATCACTAACGCAACATGGTATGTCTCCAACGAGACCCTTCACAGAGACCTCGACATCCCTTACCTAAGGGACTACATCAAACATCAGGCGCAGTTACGTTATAGTCAAGCGGTATCGCACAGCAGCACTCTGTAGACTGCACACTCGAGCAAGTTCGCAAGCACACAAAACCGCGGCTCGCACTGTGATCAAAATCAAATCGTCCAATTCTATATCCAACCAAAATTACGATTTATGCCACACACAAATTCCTAAATTAATTTTAGGATTAATTGAAATTAACTGAATACCAGTTAACAATAACAAGGCATCCCTTTAACTGGGGCACTTCACCCTCTTTGTTCTTCCCCCTTCCTTCATTTCTTTCTTCTTCCTTTCTTTCTCCCTGACTTCGTCTGGTATCTGGGCAACCAGACCTGACAGACCTACTGACCTACGATACGTTAACAAAGAGCGAAGGTTCCATGGACCGCTCTGACGGACAATGACGAATAGACGATTTATTAATCAGTACGCCTGAGTTACACTTGGAAAATCGCTACATTTACTTTATCGTTTTTTAATTATTGTTCTGCAGCAAGTGTCGCTATGGAAATTTCAAATAATACCCGAGGTGCTACAAATCATGAGAAGTGCAAAACTTTGATAAAATCTTTGAAGCGCCTGCCAGAAGAAAGCTAGATTTTCACAAACACTCTGAGAAACTGTTTGATTGATGCGCATGTGAGTGTGAAAATTTATATTTGTCCAAAAGGCCAGAAAGTTCCCACAGAACTTACTTACTTGTGGTAAAGGTTTGGTTCGAAACTAAACGACAACTGTCATGCAAGGATGGGGCAAGATATTTCTGGAAACTGGTATTCCATTCGAGATATCTTCCACGAAAACTAAAGAATGTAGTCGATCCTGTTATTCAACGCATTGCCTCTTTCGCACACCCGGAAAATTTACTTTTTCGTATGCTATCTGACAAACAGAAACATATAAGGGAACTCGCTGCCAGGCGCATGCTAAAGGCATGATCTATTGCAAATTCTAAACATGATTAGAATGATATTTTACCTGTTCAGATCAGGGTTTTTTTTCAAGGGGATGGCTTCCATCAATTTGCGAAACTGCAACAAGATGCAACCAACTGGAAGAGAAATGATGATGATTCTCTTCTCTTTTTATTAACTAAAAGAAAGCAGATATTGAACGAACGTCATCAGGACACGCATTAAGGTACGTGGTCCGAAGGTATACAGGGTGACTTTGAAGTTGAGTAATTAATTTTCAGATAATGATTGTAGAAGGAAGATAAACCAAAATATGTGTGTAAAAATTAAAAAAATTAAAAAAATGTTACCTTGTTTTATAAAGTATCCTCCCGACAAATATTTCAGTGCGGACCTGTATTTGATCGTGCGGTCTTGGAGCACCGGCATGCCCTCCCCTGTGAGGTCTTAAGTCACCTGATTCACGAGCCCTTTGTACTACATTAACAAAGGCACGAGGGGTTGGTTGCACTCGATTGGGAAACCGATCCGCATAAATCCGTGATGCCGCGGCAGCATTTTGTAAAGACTCATGTCCACAAGTTCAGCATTTTCGTAAACATGTGCCATTTTTTATTTCGTTTGAGCCACGCAACAAACACCATTATTCACTCACACGTTACCGACTGACACATCGACTGAATACAACTGAATAAAATTGTAGTAAAAACATCGTGATAAGCGTTTCAAATTCTTTCGCTTTTTTGTTTCCGATGCGATGAACCGATAAGGCGGATTATATCCATTGTTGCCAAACACGAGCACATAATATTATTATTGAGGCAGGGCAGTACTCAAAGTTCTAAAGGGCTATAACTTTGTTACTTTAATTTTACCAGAAAAATGTTAAAGGAAAAAACATTTCTTTTGATCAGATCTACTCACTGTTAAATAAATGACTCCACTTCGAAGTCACCCTGTATGAAGAAGAACTTACCGCTGGGGGTCCAAATCTCATAAAAAAAATGGAAGACGTAGAACCCAAACCAAAACGACTAAACTTAAGTTACAAAAAAAAGGGTGCTAGTCCATGAATTGGCCCCAAGCCTAATATCCCAGAGTCCGGAAAATGACGTAACGACCCCTGCACCACGACCTCAACGGAAACAGAAAAGCGAATCACGCAGAACACGTAACGTTCTAGAAGAAGGTATCTTGAGTGGCCTTGAAGAAGATATATTTTATAGGAAACCAACTAACGGAAAAAAACTACAGAGTTTTTTGCTGATCGTCCACACCATACTGAATCGCTGAGAAAGAAAGATATAATATGAGTGAAATTATACAATCAATAATCTATTAAATTTGCCAAAAGAAAATCATTGAAAACGGCATGGCCTAGGAATGGGCACTCTATTATCAATGAAGGGAAATTCAAATAACGGATAAGTGATAAATAGTAAAACAAAAGGTTACGTGATTTTGGCACGTGACGACCCCCCCTCTCCTTGGAGTAGGAGGGTATCTATAGTGTAGATAATACGACGATAATTAATAACGCTGAGCTACCAATAACCTATGGAGACAAAAATCAAGCTGATTATCAAAATCAAAGGGAATATTGAAATTCATACAAAAATTTCCACCCAAAAAAAAATATATTCTAAACCTAAGTAAACGAATTCCGGTAGATCACGTCAAGAAGGAGCAAATGAAGAGCAATGGGTACACTGGCAATACTTTTGAAGTGGAAACTGATCTGCTGATGTTGGGCGACCAGATAAATTGGCATTGCGTCATATCACCTCTCCGTACACCAAGCCAGATGGTCGACAGAACAATAACAAGAATTGTAACCCATATTTCCGCCCTTATAGGTATGGAGGTAAGATATAGTTCTACCAGACTGAAAGGTACTCAACGCACCGATTTGATCAAACAAACAGAAAAAAAAGACAAATCTAGATAGGGTGTTCCGTGATGTGTTACTGCCGGCGATCCGTCAGAAAGCTATACTGAGCGGGCAGTATCTGATTATTTATGTTGCTGCTCTCAGTCTCTAAAAACTACCATTCAATAAATTTTACTATAACATGCCGCAGTCAAAGCAGGCCGTACATTTTCGATAAGTTTCCCTAAAAAATCAATAAAAACAAACAAAGCCGGATATTTTATGTGGGCGCATAAACGTCATCCGCCCCATGTGTTTATAGCGGTATTTTAAATAAGGAGGTCGTCAGCTAGCACGCCATTATGTCTTTTTATGCTTTTTTAAGTGCTAGATTTTGGATTTTTTCTCGAGAGACCTTGCAATAGTTTGGTATTCATAGGATTGCTTCTATGTTCCCTAATCCTATACAGTTCAGTTCCAAGGTTTAACGACAAATAAAAGTGAATGGGTTCACACATATTCGGCAGTTGTAAAAAATCTTAAAAGGTGTAGTTTTATAGGCGGTTTTTGTGAGCTACCAGGAAATTGAGAATGTATAGAATTTCAAAGGAACAACATACTCGTTTGCTACTCTTTGGTGAGACTACCGGCTCACTCGGAAATACCTCAAACATTGGTCCGTGTTTTATATTCCTGGCACAAATGCCACTATGTGATATGATCTTATCGGCTGTGACTAAGGTTGCTATTTCTGGGGGGAGTAGCAGCGGCTGGTCAGTGTGGATTTGCCACTGTTTAATAGCCAAAGATAATTTTCTATACAACCGAAAAATTAAGCAAACTCAACCACCTCTTTGACGCCACATTACTGTTAAATTATAACTTTTGAATAACGACGAATTGGTGGTGGAGAAATCAACAAAACGAGATAGCCACGGCAAGTTTGTCAAATTGATCCATACGCTCGAATATATCTTATTAGATATGGATACTTTCAACCCTGCCTCTTCCTTGACTATTGAAGTTAATTATCACTCATACCAAATAGCTTGATAGCTATGTTTACTTATTCAATTCCATATTTTGCAAAATTTTCAAATGAAACTTTAAACAAGATTAGCAGTTGAATAAGTTGATTAAAGGTCCCAACAAGCTCATTTAATTTCGTGTGTGATATATAGCTAACCTTCTTGACATCATCGTATTCAAGAATTACTCCTTTTAACGAATCTGCATGTTGCGAGGCCCAAATTTGACACAAAAATTGTTCAGATGATCTTTTTAGGAAAAGTACAAAAATTGTTTTTTTTGCTGTCATCGAAGTGATTTTAGGTTTCCTAGGCCAATGTGAACATAAAATGGGCTTTAAATGTTTTTTCTAAAAATGGTAGTTTTCGAGATATGAGCGATTTAATGTTTGAAAAAGTACAAAGCATACCATTGTTGATACCGAGAAACAAAATGAAAAAACGAATATTTTAATATTCCCGATATTCCTAAATATATTTATATATATTCGAGGGATATCTTTTAAGTTTTGCATATGGAAATAAAACAACACGGTAGATAGTTTTAAATGGCTTTATTGTTTTTCGAAGTATTCTTCAGGAAGATTAATATACATCTAAATGCGCTCGAACCCATTTTCGAAGCACTTATTCCACTCGTTTGCTGGCAGATCCAAAACGGCATTTTTGAATGCGTCAACTGCTTCTTCTGGTGACTGGAACCTTTAACCGTGCAGTCTGTTTTTAATTTTCGGGAAAGTAAAGAAACCGTTAGGACTTAGATCAGGACTATATGGAGGATGGTCCAATAATTCCACGTTTTCTTCCGTTAAATACAGCCTTGTTTTTTGGGCTGAGTGCGAGCTTGCATTGTCTTGGTGGAGGATGATTCGTCTCTTGGGGTTGATTTTTCGAAGCTCGGTGATGACTTTTGGCGAACAAATGGTGATATACCAATCCGCAGTAACAATTATTTGCTCATTAAGAGGAATTGTTGCAATATGAGCCGCTTTTGACACTAATGTCGCGACCATCTTTTTCGAAACACTTCGAGAACGGCTGACCTTTGTTGGCTTTTCTTCACCTTGGAACGCCCAAACAGCCGACTGTCACGTCGTTTAGTTTTCTGGTTCACAACAGTAAATCTACAATTCATCACGACACCAGTTAACCGTGGCTGCTTTCTGATCTTCAGTCAACAGGTGGGGTATCCTACGAGAAACTAATTTTCTTACTCCTAATTCTTCATGTAATTTTTTTTGAATTGAGGTCTTTGAGATCTTCAAGTGCGCCTCAATCTCGCGATATGTCACATGTCTATCTTCAATGATGAGTTTGCGCACAGCATCGAAGTTTTCCTGGGTGGCTGCCGTTTTTGGTGCACCCACCCAGGGATCGTCGCTAAGACCCGTCCAAGTTTGAATTCTCCATACCAACGGGAAATTGTCGGCTGATGTGGCGCTTCGTTGCCGAAAACAGACAGTAACTCAGCAAGGCATTCTTATTGCGATAATTGTCTCTGAAAGTTGTAATAAATTATGGCGCGAAAATGTTCTCGGTTGAGTTCCATTTTTCTAATGACTTGGTGACACTTAGAAATTCATTGTAGTGAGAACACTGCACGTATTATTGTGAAACTATGAATTTAAGTTTACTAAAGAGTGAGATTAAGATTCAGTACTGACGTTCAATCCGCGCGCCCTACTATGTTTCTATATTGAAAACTTAAAAGACATCCCTCGTATATATATATATATATATATATACGAGCCCCTTCCCACTTCAGTTGGCCCACTTCAAGATTTATACCAAAATATGCCTTTATAAACTAAACATGACGAAACTATTTACTACTAAAACAATTTATTTACTCAAAAACGTTTTAGATACACTCTAGTCGTAAAAAATACATATCTGAAATCACTTAGACGTGTAACTAATAGAACATCTGAACAAATAAACAATGTGCGAATAAATGCGCGAAGTTAACAAAGCAACAATTGAAAGATTACCATTAGGTAACATCACCTTTACTTTTTATTACGACTGAAATTCTTTGGGATATAGTCTTATCCAAGTTTTGGCAAAAATTTGGTGTAAAACAATCCCATATTTCTTGAAGCTTTCGTCTCAGTTCGGTGATTATACGAGCAGGATGTTGTCGTAGAACCTTTTTCATCTCTTGCCAAAAAGTTTCAATAGGTGACAAATCTGGACTGCTATAAACCTATTTCAAAAGTGGTATATTATTTTCTTCCATCCATTTTATAGCCTTTTTTGAGGTATGGCACGCTGCACCATCTTGCTGAAACACAAAATCTTGGCCGGATGTCAAACATTCTTAAATCACTGGTAAAAGCGATTCTTCTAAAATTGCCAAATGTTTGTTTGTATCCACATTTCCATCAATAAAATGAAGTCTTCCTACTCCTTTTGATGACATACTGCCCCAGACCATAATGGATGCTGGAAATTTCACTTTTCTCTTCAGACAGTCAACATGGAATGCTTCATTTTTTTGCGAACAACTCTACTGCGACTGACACCAACACAAACTTCGAATCGGGCCTCATCACTCCATTGTATTGCACACCATTGTTGAGGTGCCCATTGTCTATGTTCTTCAGCCCATCTAAGCCTATTTTTCTTTTGCAGTGGAGTTGATAGTGGCTTTTCTTTGGCCTATAAACAAGTTGTGCGACTTTAGGGTTTTTACTTCACTTTTTTTATAAGAACACTTACCTTGCAAGTGCTAAATCCCAGTTTGTGGGCCTCTCTATGAGTTGTGGAACTCGAAATTCTCCTTCCAACAGCGTCACTCCACAAAGCACTTAGTTGTAAATAATTGGCACGCCTGTTTTTCACGATTATTATTCTTAATGCTCTTCGGTCGGCATTTGTTATATTACTCTTTTTCACATATCGTGGCTTAATATTATCTGAACCAGTTACGTTATATCTTCTAACAATATTACTCACACTGTACCGCGATAAGTCTAACAAAGTTGCAATTTCTGAGTTTGATTTCCCAGAATTAAAAAATTTAATTATCAGTAACCGAATTTTCTCACTAATAACCTTTCCTCTACCCATTTTGAAAACCTTAACTACCCACATTTATTTTAAACGTATTCTGACAGCTGTGATTAATAATCAAAACAATTGTCATGGCTTTTATTTTTCACAGCCACCTATGCGTTATAGACTTATTTTGCATTGAAATGAAAATAGGTTGATATGCTGTAATTGCAACATGTGTTATTTTTATGCTGCAAATTTGATTAGGGAGTGATAAAGTTGGCGTTTTCTACTATATATTATCAAAATATTCATTGTTAATATTTTAAACCTATAACACCCTGCTACATTCTTATTATTTGTGTTTGATAAGAAAAAAACTAAGATTTCAATAGTTGGGCCAACTGAAGTGGGAAGGGGCTCGTATATATAATCTTCAAACAAAGTAAATAGAAGGGCACTAACAAAATCCTAAAGCATTCCCGGGTGTATTGTCATTATAAGCGTGAGCGTGAGGAAGATGCAGCATGGCGCGGCCGCCAGCTATAGTCCTTTCACTGAAACAAAGCAGTTACGTCATACTTAGTAAATTTAAAGGCCAACCTTAATGCAAAATAGTTCCTAAAATGTTGGTAACAGTTTTCTGTGTTGTGACATTGTAGCAAAGCTTCTCAGGTAATCACGCCAACGGCTCTTGTTTATTTGTGGTTTATTTCCTTGTATCTAGTAGTTTTACGTAATGTGGCAACCATGTGCGTGTCATTATTTGACGATGTGACGTAAATGCTTTGACTCGGTGAATACTTATACGTTGAACGAGCTAATTTTTTCATAATACTTGAGGGTCATAAGTTTAAGAAACTGATAGAAACATTTATAGTAAGTAAAAGCCTCGACAATGTTCATACCTGAACCAATGCTCAAACCTTGTATTTAAATAAGCAATAACTAATCTAGAGGCTCGTGAAAAACAACACCAGTTATAGTCGATAATGGGGCAAATTCTCCGAATGTCTTACACACGTTTCTCGAAAGCAGTAGTAATCTCTAATTGGTGATGTAATCGAATAAACATGTGATGACAAGCTGTCATTTTCATGGCCAACTCTGACGTTAGCTTTTCTGGCTTTATTGGCTTGTCAATAAGAATGTATGACAGATTGTACACTCCTGGATTCAGAATTAAAAACCCTCTTAGTCTGCGTATAAATCCAATATAGCATATATTGAAATTCCAGCTATAGCTTGTTGAAGAGAAATAATGACAATGTTCCTGTACAATGCTTGACAAGTGACATTATGTCGTTTTTTGACATTATATAAATGTTTTGTGACATTAAGTAGGTTTTTCTACAAGATGTCCACTTAGAACAAGCTGTTGTTCACTTGATCTGCACTGGTTCCGTAGCAGCTGTACGTGTTGCCTAAACATCAAAGATAGCATTATCAGGGGTCTTAGCGGTAAGTTGTATACTATACGAGGAAGGAAACGGCAGTGCATAGGTGCATAGTGAGGATTTGTGGGCAAATAATATATGTTGATTAGAGAGATAAAAAAATGAAATCCCTCACAGGTGAGAAAGTAGGCTACAGACAGGAATATTTATGAAACGTCAAAAAGTTTTTACATTTTACATTATTTTTTATTTTCCGTCATTTAAATTTCATAAAGACTTATTTTGCGACGTCAAGCGGAAAATATAAATCAGCGCCTAGGTGTGAGGCACTGCGAAATTGTTTTGTGTGTGATGCGCCATTCCTTATTTTTCTGTGATGTGGCTTGACTACATACCTACTACGTGGGCGCGGTGGTAATTTCTCGTAAGACTTCTCAAATTTTTTGACAACGCAAGGAAACCGGGGAAATTTGTAATTTATAGCTTTGTTCATAACCTCTCTTCCGAAAGGACAACACAAATAACCCCTCTGGTACAGCTAAAAGATATACTTCACGGCAGCATGTTCAGTAATAATTTTCTCACACAGCAAAGATCATTGATTTCATACGCATGGAGATCAATACACTCTACAACCTACAAAACGTGCTGGGACACTGACTTGCAGCAACGTCATTGAGCGTGTCGTGTCGTTGAGACATTCCTCCATAGATGACGCTTTTGGTGACGCCGACAGCGCTCATAGCGAGCAAACGCGAAATGAACTATTTGCACACTATGAAAAATCTAGTCAGCAAGCTGATATTTTGTCGTTTTTTATATAGGTTTTTTAAGTAATAACCCTGCCGAGTAAGAGCCCTGGGAGGAGGATGCGCCATATCCGGTATCACGCCAAAACGCATGATATAACAATTCTGCGTCTATTTAATATTGATATCTCCGCTAACTCGAATTATTCGCGTATTTTTAAGTTTGTAACATGAATAACATTAATGGGTACAGGAAGGACGGATTCAACTACTTAAACTTGCTTCTCTAGCATCAAAGCTAATGATAGTGGTTCGAATTCTCTCAACACAGATCGATATACAAAACAAACCTTGAATTTTGAATTGCAACTTTGTAGCAGACTATATTGACGCCGATGAGTTCCACTTCATTCAAATATAATTAGTATTCGGCCTGGTTAGTTTCAATTACCAAAAAACATAAACATCACTCCCTGGGCGCGTCTAAGAGTACAACCGCTCATTTAACCGGGAGTTTTAGGAGACTCGTAAAATCGTAACTGCCTACAGTATTTCACGTATCCCTCATATTAGCTACGGACATTTTAATGATTTCTCTAAATCATCACGGGTCAAAAGCCAATAAGGTCGTTAATACTCGTAGTAAGGTTTGTTTGTTTTGTGTGCAAGTTGGTTGGCTTTGAACTGAGTTATGGTGGCGAGAGCACTTCCGCTGAACGATTTATTTTTATTTGGACACTATTTAGTGAACGCTACAATTGACCGATGAACCGAATCTTGGAATCTGACAAAGTGTAGATGTGCTATAGTGGATATGAGACTGTGACGTTTTTGCATTCCATGTGATGAGTAATTAAATTCGAGGCAAAAAAAGTAAAAAAAATCAACTTAGCGAGTTATGTCTATCGAACATAAGAATTATTCTTAGCATTTAATTAATACGGATTATTGCTTTCAAATGTCAGCTGTTACTGCAGTCAACGTGGTGCATTCTTACGACTACCAATGCCGCATTCAAGCAATGGCTTAATGTAAGAACCGATTGCGCATAGTGCTCGCGCATCCTATCACATGACGTCCGTTCAATCTCAGACATTCTTGTCTGTCACTATAGCGCAATTACAACGTCTCTATTGGTGTTAGTTGCGTGCTTTGTTTGTCACCACGTCGCTCAGTCAACCCGCTGATTGTGCAGTGGTCCCAGTAATTCGGATTTAAACGCTGCTGAAATTCAAGAGCAGCTTTTTGCATTAGGACCGTTACTCCGCTACTCAAAAACGCCGGTAGAGCCTGCTCTCTGACTGCGTCGTTCTGCTTCACGACAACGCTCAGCCTCACGTTGCGGTAAGAACACAGATGCAATCCTGATTTTGCACCATCAGATTTTCATATGTTTCTAAAGTATAAGGAATATCTTGGTGAAAATCGCCTGGGAAATGTTGTCATGTTAAAAGAAACAGTTTACTGGTTTAAGGGTCAGGCAGCAGCGTCATTTGAAAACAAAGTTCAAAGTTGGCGTCACATCACAAATGTTTAAATGTTTATGGCGACTACGTTGAAAAATAAAAGAATACTCATATTTTGGTTTTTGATATTTACGTTCATGACTCCATTACAAAACGATTGTTACTTAAAGAATAGTCCTTGTATTTGCTTCAATACAAGCCCATGATGTTGATAAATTGGAATTCCAAGATCGACAGTTACCGGCAGTGAAAGATGACGTTTGAAAGAATATGTCCGTAAAACCAAATTCTGGATGTTTCTTTTGTTTGATGATACAGACAGCCGACACAGGTGATTGCTTCTGTTTTTTCTTTGTTTGAAAGGAGTAATTCCAAATGAATCACTCATTATAATTTTCCCTAGTGTATGTGACCCAAAATGAAGCATTGCAATTTATCTGACGAAGCTTCTGTCTCAATTTTCTGTCAACGCTGACGTCATCACTGACAGCTCTTATAGAGCACTTGCGATATCAGGTTGCAGTGCCTAGAAGCTTCGGTGACCAAGGTTACTGTAAACTAGGAAGGAGTCTTTTGAAGATGAGCGCCACCTTCTGCTGAAAATGATTCTTCTTAATACCATTGAAGCCCAGGCTGTCGAAAAGTTCGACGCCTATCAATGCTGTCATAATGTCTTATCATAACAAGGAGTGAGGTTATTGATTCATGGATAAAAGTAATTTCATTCCGAGTTACTTTTTACTTCTCCTTGTTCAATAAAAACATTGCTATGGGGCAGTGATCCTTATCTCATGATTGTATTCATATATTTCCATAGATAACACTTTC